CATAAAATAAGAACTAATTGTTCAAAAAAAAAAAAAAAAAAGAAAAATGAGCAGCTGATTCCAGGAGCCCAAGTGGAAAGTGGGTGTTTTGAGAATGATGAGGGCAACAAATGTATAAGTGTGCTTTACACAATCGATGTATGTGTGCATTGTGATAAGAGTTGTATGAGCCCTAATAAAATGATTAAAAATAATGATGATGGCAACAAATGTACAAATGTGCTGGACACAATGGATGGATGGATGGATTGTGATAAGAGTTGTACGAGCCCCCAATAAAATGATAAAAAAAAAAAAAAGAACTAATTGTTCTTAGATTGAGGCTAGAGTTAGATTGAGGCTAGAGTTAACTTGAGCCTAAGACCCAAGTATATATCTATGGTTTATATATGTCTCTGGTTCATTTTTTTCAACATCGTTATCATTTTATGATACAGAACATTATAAATCACCCCCTGGGGACATCATAGGGTAATTATATTGATAATGCCATTAATTTAACCAGTGGTATTGAATTTAAAACACTGTTCAAAAATGGAAATTACACACGTGTAGGCCAGCTTCAGGCTGAAATACATGAATTGATGACTTATACAGATCAAACTTTTATGTGACTGGACACTATTTACACAAACTGTGGCTGTTGGTGATAAGGCAAAAATTTCACTAACTCTCACTCACAAAGGCAGGACCAGGGGTTCAACTTTTCATGTTGCTGACTATGTATGTGTCAATGTAGGGTCAAGCCAGAAATGATCGAATGAAATTGTGTTTCTCTCATTTAGTTCTATGAAATCCTTTTAAAATTGATTTTTCATTTGCCCCCTACCTCTTCCTGGCCCTCCAACCCTTTGTATATCTAGGTTTATGGCTAGAAACACCTAAAAGCAAAGGCTCCCATCATTGTTGGTGGTGCCACTCGGCAAGCTCCCTTCTGCAGCAAATTCCAGGTCTGTCTTAGGCCTCCTAATCCAGGAGTCAGGAAGAGATCTCTCTGGTCCATAAATGGTCCCACAGACCTAATCCTTGCCATTTCCCTGGGGTCCTGCCCCACTCAACTGTTTGCCAGAGAAGCTGGCAGTGTGGTCGGTGAGGACCCCGGGGAGTAAGGGATCCATATTCTTATTCTTCTACTGATTCAAGAAACACAGACATAAATAGAGATGCCTCCAGAAAGACGAACACAGAGACACACATGTGGACTTACCCCAGACACCCAGAAATAACCACAGACTCCCTTCCCGGAGACTCAAACACTCACATCCAGATGGTCCATGGTGGTCTCCGTGAGGGAGCTGCAGGATGGATGCAGCAGCTGGCTGAGGACGGTGTCGGCGCCCTTGCAGAACAGCATCACCCGGTTTTCTGGTGTCTTCACTGAGGAGCAAATTAAGCAAAGTCACTAGACGGGCTGCTGCTACAAGAACTCACCTGGGCCTCCCAGGGCAATTCCTGCTACTTTGAGGGCTCAGCACTCCGTGGGTGATCACTCACAGAGGGCACGGGACGTGTTTGTTGAGGGGTGAGCGTGAGGCCAGTTCTCCCATGGACTCAGTACCACCCGTGGGAGACCCACCCGCATGAAGAATCACTCCTAGTTTTCCAAGTCCAAGCCCCAGGCTAAGGATGAAAAACTACCTTCTTCCTTCTCTTTAATCTGAAACCCAAATGAATTGAGAGCAAGGTAACATGGATGGTCGTGACTTTGGCTGTCCCCAACCCCGCCCTCATCCCATGTTTAGTCCATATTCTCTCTGCCCTCGGTCATGCCCTAGTCTGTCTTTCTCTCGACTGTGAAGGGTGACAAGCCACTGCCAGGAAGAACACGAGAGAAGGGTCCTTGCATAGAGGAGCAAGTCCCCACACGTGTATAAGAGAAAGCAGGGATAGCTATGTGACGTGGAGGTACCGTACCTGTGAGGAGGCTCTTGCGTGAGAGAAAGCTTTTTTGTGTAGACGCAAGTGAGAGTTATTATGTCAATGTGCCAGAAGGACAAAGAAGGGGAGCAGGATGACAAGAGGGCGCACCCACCGATGACAGACATCCGCTTGCGTATATTGTTGAAGTCCAAAATAGCCAGCAGTTTGTAGACCTTGACTTGCCCCATTTCGACCACCAGGATCGTCTCAGACGTCCGGGAGCGAAACACATAGCCAAAGCTCCTGGCAGCAGTGACCAGGGCACCTTCGTCAGGGGACTGGGCCTGGTACACCAGCTCGCCTGCAGGACAAAGGAAGGAAGTTTGAGTCCACAGAGTTGCAGCTTGTCCACCCAGCAGGGATTGTGTTTCTGAAAAGCGGCTTCTGTGAACACGGACATGTCTCAGGAGAGGGCGTTTTCTTCCGTTTCCTCACTAGTCTGACTCTCAAGGTCAGGTTCCATAGACTACCGCCATCTCTTTTCTTTCCCATGCTTTCCGCTTATTTTATAGGCCTGGTTTACGGTTACAGAGACACGTGGGATAGGCAGTGGATGCAAAGAAATAAAAGGTAGTTATCCTCAAACGTCCGTGGGTAAAGGTGGCTTAGGGAACTTATTTAAAATGCAGGCTTCTGGGCCCCTTGCCTGCTCACTGAAAATTCAGAATCACAAAATCTGGGAGATGGTCCCAAAAAATTGAAATTTTAACACACCTACAGAGTTATTTTCATACAAGTAGTCTGACATAAGACTGGCCACACATCTGTAAACACTGCTATAAGATAATAAGACTGAGAATGAGTTTAGTACATGATCAGAAAATACACACGAACGACTGTTTTCACCTTGAAACTTACATTGGGAAGCTAAATAATACACGTTAATAAAGCAGCCTTTCAATTTGATATTACTCAAGCCATTTCTAGAATTCCTCTTCTGGAATGTCATTAACAATCTGAGGTATATCGTAGACTATTTCTCTTGTAAAGGTCAATTTGATTTTTAAAACAGCTAAGCATCATCAGAGGTGTGGGGGAGAGTACTTTGAGGTCAGGACATGGACGTATTTACCAAACAATGAGACACTTTTCCCAATGACTAGCCCTGTGACTCATGGCAGGAAGCAAAGAGGAGGCCACCCATCCTTAACAGCCTTCTTGGGATGGCAGGCCCAGAGAGGCACATGGTAAGGTAAGTGCTCATGAACACGGCAAAAAAAGATGCAAAACTCTACTTATCTCGTTTCTGCCCTTCTTCACTATAGGATTTTAGATAAGTCACCATCTCTTTTAGCTTCAATTTTCTTCTCTATAAAATTGGGGTCATTTTTCTTACAAGGCGGTTATGAAGATTATAGGGGAAATATAAACAAAATCAATTTGTAAAACTGTCAAGCGCTATACACAGATAAGCTGCTGCTACTGGAAGCATGAGTAAGAGTGTGTTGACGTCCATCACAGAACAAGATTCATTTGGCTGCCTACCTTCTTGCTTGTTTAAGACCTCCAGTCAAAGATGATATGGTCTTTAAAACTAAGAAGTTATTTTCCCCTTGAATGTCCTCAGGGCCTGGAAGCTCATTACTTACCACCTTGACTATCTATTAGACACTTTCTCTGAGAAAGGTCCGTTTTAGATGAAGTCATTACAAATCGCATCAAACGACCCCCACCTCCAACCAGCCTGGACTCTACACCAGGGTCTCAGTTGTGAGGCCTGCGGCCTTCCTCACCCTCCACTCTCTCCTCTGACATCACGGTGTGGCACAACGCAAGGGAGAGGAAAAATAAGTGCACCCAGCGATCTCTACTTTTGACTGCTTCAACCAGTGACTTGTCATAAAACACAAACTTCGGATCGGCCAGTTTGTTGTAGGAGAAGTCAACTTTTTCTGTGTTCTGGAACACAAAAACCAGGACAAACTTCTTAGCAACTACTTAATGGGTGGGGGTGGGGGGTGTAGGGGGAGTGGGAGGGGGCGGGGTGCAATTCCCAGACTATGACGGCGACTTTCAAGGAAGGTGAGAAGAGAAAAGCAAGCGGAATGGAGGGGACGCTGCCGGGTTCTAAGGCTTTGGAGCTCTGATCCGGATCATCCACTCCCTTGGGCTGGAAAAGATCCTTTCCACAGGAGACAAGTTGAGTTGTGCTTTGCCCGTCCTGGTTGACCCTGATGCACCATGGCCATCCTGCACGGGCATCTAGGCTCTACTTTTTAAACTCTTCAATTTATTACAATCAAATATGGCAGAATATGAGAAGTGACGACTCTCTATCAGTAAGACAGGGTCTGGAAATAGTTTTGCCTCCTGCTGGCCTGCGCTTGGTTTGGGAAGCTGGAAAGGGGCAGTGACACTATTTACGACATTCTACTGGTGGCCCATGGAGGTTACGAGGGCGCTGGAGAGGCAAGACCACATAGCCAGGCAATTTCAGTACATCTTTTCTGTTTACAGTTTGAGTCATTCTATTTGACCTATCAGCATATCTAATTCCTTCTGACCTTCATGATTAATGCTGCTTGCGTTCCTTATTTCATCCTGGCTTCAATCGAATTAAGTCTTCTCACAAAACTCACTGCCGTGGAGTGGATTCCAACTTCTAATAACTCTGAATTGGGCTTTGGAGACTGCAAATCTTTATGGGAACAGACTCCCATAGCTTTCTGCTGTGGACAGCTGATGGAATCGAACTGTTGGCCTTGTGGTTCGCAGCCCCGCACGTAACCCACAGCATTGCCTCACGATGACCTTGACTCCTTTAGACCTTGGCTTTGATTCTAGGCTCCTTACAGCAGCCTACGTAAGTTGGTGGTGATGTTTTGTTTTTCTGATTCAATCTGGTCCTGTGACTTTCTTATCTCCACCATGAAGTGTGATGTTATTAGCAATTTTCTCTAGCCCATACCAGAACTTTCAAGGATCTTTCTACAGTTTTCTGTAGATGCTAGCTGTAGGGGCTCTTAAGCTGGGCCCCAATATAGCTGTCCTGTTGGTGATGCGCTGGAGAAAGGGAAGTTTGTAGTTAGTTATGTTGTTTCTTTTCTATATTTCATCTAAAAGAATTTTGTCACAGTAGGGGGAAAAATATGAAAAGGTCCCAGAGCTAAGTCCTGGAATTGGCCAACTGTAGATTTATGAGCTCCAGAAAGTCTTTAGGTTGACTGACTTAAGATAACTAATTATATATCATCCCTTGAAGCATTTCTAGAATAGGACTCCTATACTAGTACATTCACAAACCAGAGACTGGTGAGTGGTGAGAGATGAACCACTAGGTAGACATCAACCATCTTCTGAGTTTCCATCCTATATGCAAAAGGAATCACAGAGATTATTGGCTGTCAGTGACACAATCAAATTTATACTTCAGGAAAAAGGCATCAGACTATCATTGGATTTATATTGGAACTAGCAAGACCAGGAACAGAGGGACACGCTAGGAGGTCACTGCAATGATCCACAAGAGAAATAATTCGGTAATGGCAATAAAGATCGAATTAATGGGATAGATTCAGAAAATTAAGAAGTTAGAATTTAAAGGATGTAAATATAAAGAATGGAAAAAGGAAAAAAGCTAAGAATAATTTTATATTTCCTAGTTAGGCCCCTTGGTAGATGGTGAGACTAGACATTGAGATAGGGTACATGAGACTTTGACAGATGGAATTTTTGAACTCTGAAATCTGAGCGAGTTTCTGATTGCCCCTTCCAGATAAGCAATGCTCAAGCACACTGGACCTGGATGGGCACAGGACTGAGGCAGGGTTGGTTTGGAGCGGCAGTGCAGTATGATCTGAGAGGCAGCATTCAGGGATAACTCTGAAATTGAAATCCAAAACAGCAGCTAAACAAGGCTGAAAGGAGACATTCAGGCACTGGACAAAAAGGAAATGGGATATCAGGTGACAAGAATGGATTCAGAGTGGAAGGTAGGAGGTGATAATTGAGGAAATTCTTTGAAATGTGTCCTAGAGGCAGTTTTAAAGGGAATAGTCTTAGCTTTGGCTATGGATGGTGAGGGAGTTATCAAGGAGAGAGTTCTCTGGGTAGATGGATTTGGATTATCAATGTTATTGCAGTTAAAGTCATATGAATATACAAGGTTATTCAAGAAGACCTTATTAAGTAGGGGGAAAGTACAATGAAAGAACCCTGAGTAGAAAATTGCATACGGAGAACAATTCTGCCTGCCTATCTACCTACTTAATATATCTAGAACTGCAGTTATATCATGTATACATCAAAAGACATCTGGAAAGGCAGACTCCCAACTTTACACAGCTTATCTAAGTGGAAGGAGCGCTGGGGGTGCAGTGCTTTTAACTGAGAAGTGGGCGGTTCAAGGCCACCAGACTTTCCACGGGAGAAAGCTGTGGCTGTCTGCTTCTGCAGAGGAGCCCCACGAGGCAATGCGGATCTGCCCTTCAGGGTTGCTCTACCCTGGAACGGACTTAATGTGAATGAGCTTTTGGAGTGGATCTCTAAATGGGACTGAATGATTTGATTTCATATACTTTTGCCGTGCTGAAGTTTTGAACTAATAATCATGGGTTATTACTATATGTAACAATCCATGCTGATTATTTAAAATAGTTTTCAACACTACAAAACATGTATGAAAGCAAATGATTGTTTCTTATCTCCCATTTGGCTGTCAGTTTGTCCTATTGTGGTTTGTTGCTGTGATCCTGGAAGCATTATCACCGGTGTTTCAAGTAGCAGGACGGTCACCTAAGGTTAACAGGGTTCAGTGAAGCTTCCAGACTAAGAGCAAACTGAAGAAGGAACAGGCCATCCATTTTTGAGTGACAAGCCATGGAAAACCTTATGAAAAGCAGTGGGACGTTGTCAGATAGACAAAAAACACGTTATGACTAGCAGAACATGGTTAGATATAATGCCAGAAGAGGAGCCCGTTAGGTCGGAAGAGCTCAAAATATGTCTGAGGCAGATCTGCGCTCTCAAAGTGGCGTTGGCCGTAAGTTGGCCGTAAGGATGCGGATGGCGTCAAGTTCGGGGGACCTTCATCTGCAGGCGGAGCATGAGATAAAATGAGAAGAAAGAGCTTCAAACATCTAATAATAGTCAGAACGTGGAATCTAATAATAGTCAGAACATATGAATCTAGGAAAATTGGAAGTGGTCAAAAATCAAATAAAGATCAATACTCTAGGCATTCGTGAGCTGAAATGGATTTTTATTGGCCAGTTTGAATCAGACAATCAGATGGTTTACCATGTTGGGAATGACAAATTGAAGAAGAATGTTGTCACATTCACTATCAAAAAGAACCTTTCAAGATCTATAAGTACAGTCTTGTCTGTGATGGGAGAATATCTATATGCAGGCAAGGAAATCCAGTTAATACAACAATTATTTATATTTATACGGCAACCACTCAAGCCAATGATGAAGAAATAGATGCATTCTACCCGTGTCTTCAGTCTGAAATTGATCAAACATGCAATCAAGATACATTGATAATTATTGTAATTAGAATTCAAACGCAATCAAAGGGAGTGTTGCATTGGGGAAATCTGCTGGCCGAGACTTCTTTAAAGCGTTGAAAAGCAAGGCTGTGACTTTGAAGATCAGGTGTGTCTGAACCAAGCTACGGTATTTTCAATCGTCTCATGTGCATGCGAAGCTTGGACATGGAAGAAGGAAGACAGAAGAAAAATCTATTTGAACGAAGGCTGGTGAACAATACTGAAAGTGCCACGGGACGCCAAGAGAACACACGTGTCTGCCTCGGAAGAAGTACGGCCACGTGCTCCTAGGTGGTAAGGACGGCGAGACTTCATCTCCTGTACTCAGGAACCTGCTCAGGAGAGGCCAGTGGCTGCAACAATGGACTCATGCATCCACAACTGTGAGGACAGTGTTTTCCTTCCCTTGTAAAGGGCTCACTAGGAGTGGGAACTGACTTAATCGCATCTAACCACGACAGCAGGAGTCTTTGTGACGTATTTTGCTTTTGCTGTTGAAATCATGCACACCAGAACACTCACCAACTCAATACTTTCTACGATTGAGAGTCACTGAGCGCATTCTTAAAGTTAGATGACGGTTCTCCCTCTTCTTTTCTAAGTTGTTCCTCCCCATTAGCTCAACTCCACGGCTCCCTAAGCTGCCTATGGAATCACCCTGCTCGCTGTCACTGTGATTCCTAGAGAGAGAGAGTCAAAGAGCATGAAGCTCAAGGCAGACTTCTCTCCCAGTCAAGCTGAACTACTGTTTGCGTTAAGAATGTCTTTGGAGATATACAGTATTTGGTTTAAAGTTTGAAGATTATCTCAGGGCAATGGCTAGAGACGGATAGAGGAGCAGTGTCTTGGTTCCTAAGACCATCAGAAATATGTCTTTTCTGATGGCCTTAGGTAACCCCTGTGAAAGGGTTGTTCTACCCCCAAAGGGGCCAAGACCCACAGGTTGAGAACTGCTGGTATAGAAGGTGATCATGACTTGATAATAACATGAGCTTTAATATTCTAGATACTAGGGGAGATCAAAATAAGTCCTGGTAGGGTAGTGGGTTAAGCATAGGGCTGCTCACCGAGAAACTGGCCGTTCAAAACCACCAGCTGCTCCATGGGAAAAAGAAGAGGCCTTCTGCTCCCACAAAGATTTACAGCCTCAAAACCCCTAAGGAACAGGTTTTCTTTGTTCTATAGAGTCATTATGAGCCAGAGTTGACTTAGCAGCAGTGGGCAGTTTCCAGGGAAACCAAACGTGTGTTGAAGAGGCAGCCGTGTATCACACCATGCAGGCTCTCACATGCACTTCACACGTTGCCACTCACCTCAGAGCTTTCCATTCTCCATCCATTATTGTCAATGACAGTACCTGTTGGTGAGTAAACAGGGTAGAGACTTGGCAAGGCGTGTAAAGTAAGGCTTTAAAAATCTTATTTCTTCTGATTCCTTCATCCCACATCTGCAGTCAAGTTATCCTGAATTTCCTCAGGCCAACTAACAACGTCTGAAGGAGATCCCTTCCCCAAGATCCCTTCCCCAAGGTAGGAAGCGATCATCCCCTGCGCCTCATATTTCCCCCTCAAGGAAGAGTGAGGCAATGCTGGGGATTAGTCAGCCACTGATCCCTAAGCAACTTCACACCACAACCAGCCTTCCATCAGAAAAGGCACCCAGAGAAGAAGGCTCCAGAATGCTCCTGATATCCAGCCAGTGGGAGTACAGAGTGCGTGAGGTGGGAGACAGTCCTGATGGGAAGGCTGGAAACACTCAGGACCCTTTTCAACCGTGCCTAGCACGTGGTTAGGTCTATACAATGAGTCAGAGAATTAAGATCTTCAGCCCAAATGAGTCTCCAAAGTTTACGTTTATGAAAGTTTATTTGGCATGTAGTAGGAAATAGACTGCTCTAGCTTTCGTTTTGAATTAAGGTGAAATTCACGTAACTACAATGAACTATTTTAACGTGCACAATTCATGTATTCATGAACACAACCGCCATGTCTCTGTAGTTCCAAGATTGTTCATCATTCCAAAAGGACACCTTGGGAGTTCTAGCTTTTCAGATGCGACTCTCTTCCTCTGCTGAGACATCAGGCATGAATGATCGCACATATGGGATTCAACACTACCACACAAATGAACATACACTTGAGGTATAACGTAAGTGAGGGATTGGACCTGGGAGACATCTCTAAGGGGGGATCACATTTCAGCTTCAGCCATAAAATGTCTGCTTATTTGGTCTAATATATTTTCTTCTTCAAGACATTAGGAATAGAGACTAAGTCTTATATAGCTCGGGGTTTCCCTCTGCCCAACACAATGAATTGCACCTATAACTCAAAATAAATGCCTTTTGATTAGAATTGAGCTTGCTATGTGCACTTTACTTAGTGAATAGGGGGTGGGGGGCTGCAAGAATAGGAGGCACATGGCAAGGTTGGTAACTGCAAGGTTGGCAGTTCAAAACCATGCCGAAGCTCCTGAGTGATCTGATTCCCTGATTACAGTCTGAAAAACCCAACACGGTAATCCTACTCTGCCCACGGGGTCCTCTGAGTCCAGTGTGACTCGATGGCTTCTAACAATAACAACACCAATTTAGAACTAAATCATTCCGGAAAACAATCTACAGATTTGAATCTCCCCAGGACCCAGGGAAAGCAGGAGGGCATGCATACCATAGAACGTCCCATTAATAGAACACCTTTTAAAAATCATGATGTTCTGCGTCAGGGTCCCTGTTTTGTCAGAGAACACATATTTGACTTGACCAAGCTCTTCGTTAAGGGTGCTGGTGCGAGCCTGTGCTCGTGTGTTCCTTGGTGCGTAATACATCTTCTGATCCCAGTTGATATAGCAACTGTTGCCCAATCTTATTATCTCAACACTAAGGAGAAAGCAAGAAGAGAAGAGCCCTGGATTAGAGCAAGACAAGCAAATATAGTGTCCTGGTTTCCTTCTTACCAGTTCCAGGGTAGGACAGGGCCCGTATCTGAAAGTTAGAGCATCTGTCTTATTGGGAACCTACTCACCTGTTGTGGCAGTTACATCATCTGGTGTCAATTTGGGACTTGAGAGGATTAAGAGTGAAGGGGTGGAGTCTACTCTGTCAATCAGGATGTAGCCAATGAAGCCTCTGTGTGAGCATGGCCTTCTCCTGAGGATTCTGGGAACTCCTGTATTTCCTCCTTGGAGGTGGGAGACTCTCTCTCTCTCTCTTCACTTCCTTTGAGACAATTCTGAGGAAAAGCCACATGAAGCTACCCTGAGGCAGAGTTTCGGAGCTGGAGCTGGAGGAGCCACGTGGAGACCCCTGCCAGTGCTGAGATGCTTAGAAGGCCACTGGATCCACAAGACTTTGCACCAACTGACCTGTGATCTTCCTGCATTTGGCATCATTGCATGTGTTACATGAGTCTGAAGAGGGCTTTATAGATTGATATCATATATATGGGCTAATATTGGACTTATAGACTTGATCTAGACTGGGTTGGGATGTCTTCTCAATATTCTCAATATTCAATGGCTCTTATATGTAAAGCTCTTTCCTATACACATGAGTGTCTTTTTGACTTTGTTTCCTAGTGTACCCGGACTAACACACCTGTCCACCACTTTTCTGTGTCCACCATTCATCTATCAGTTTGTCATATTGTAGTGGCTTGTGTGTTGCTAAAAGCTGCACTACTGGTATTTCAAGTAGCAACAGGGTCACCCACAGTGGACAGGTTTCAGAAAACTTCTAGACTAAGACAGATTAGGGAGGCTCTGGTGATCTATTTCTAAAAATCTTGTCCCCCCAAACTTTGTGAATAGCAGCAGAATATTGTTTGATAGAGTGCTGGAAGATGAGCCCCACAGGTTGGAAGGTCCTCAAAATACGACCAGGGAAGAGCTGTCTCCTTCATGATATGGATAAGCTACAGCCTTTGGGACCTTCATTTGTTGATATGGCTTGATCGAGATGAGAAAACTTAAAATGAGAACAAACAGCTGCAAACATCCATTAATAACTGGAACAGTGGATATACAAAGCACGAGTCTAGGGAAATTGAAAGTCATGATAAATTAAATAGAATACATAGAGATAAATATTCTAGGCATTAAGGGGTTGAAAAGGGCTGGGATAGGCCATCCTGAGTCTGACAATCATAGTTCACTATGCCGAGAATGGCAAACTGGAGAGAAATAATGTCACATTAATTGTCAAAAAGAACATTTTAAGGTGTATCCTGAAGTATAATGCTGTTAGTGATAGGATAATATCCATATACCCGAGAAGAATATCAACAAATGCTAAAGATAAGGAAATTGAAGATTTGTAGCAACTTCTACAGCCTGAAATTGATCAAACATACAATCAAGATGCATTGGTAATTTTTGATAACTGGAACAGGAAAGATGGAGACAAAGAAAGATCAATTCAATTTAACTCACTGCCACTGAGTTGATTCTGACAGTAAATTTATAGGATGGGGTAGAAGTGCCCCTTTGGGTTTTTGAGACTTTTAAATCTTTTTTTAATTTTATTGTAAGGATTGCACAGGGCCAGGCGATGTTTGAGTTCATTGTGCTTGAGGCTCCACAGTGATGCAGCAGCAGCTATAGCCTATTTCCTGTCCATTCAGCTACATGTATTTCAATGACTCCATTTTATATATTTTAAGTGTTTTATTATCTATGTATGAAATTTATTTAAGCTACATTGTTGGGATTTGAATTCTTTATTTCTTTTTTTTTTTAATCATTTTATTGGGGGCTCATACAACTCTTATCACAATACATACATGCATACATTGTGTCAAGCACATTTGTATGTTTGTTGCCATCATCATTCTCAAAACATTTGCTTTCTACTTGAGCCCTTGGTTATCAGCTCCTCATTTTCCACCTCCCTCCTCCCCCGAGACTTTTAAATCTTTACTGGAGCAGACAGCCTCATCTTTGTCCTATGGAGTGGCTTGTGGGTTTGAACAACTGACTTTGTGGTTAACAGCTTAATGCATAACCTACTATACCACCAAGACTCCATAAAGAGAGATCAGTAGCTGGAAAAGCCAGCCTGGGTGATAGAAACAATGGGAGATGCATGATAGGATTTTTGCAAGACCAACGACTTATTTATTGCAAATCCCTTTTTTTCAACAACATAAATGGCAACTGTATACGTAGACCTCATGGATACATTGAGGAATACCCATGAATCAAATCAACTACATCTGTGGAAAAGAAACAATGGAGAAGATCAATATCATAATTCAGAACAAGGCCAGGGGCCAACTAAGGAACAGACCATCAGTGGTTCATATGTAAGTTTAAGTTAAAGCTGGAGAAAATGAAAAGAAGTGCATGAGAGCCAAAATATGACCTTGATTGTATCCTATCTGAATGCAGAGATCAACAGATTTGACATATTGAACACTAAAAACTGAAAACCAGATAAGCTGTGGGATAACATCAATGACATCATACATGAAGAAAGCCAAAGGCCATTAAAAGGAAAATATCACAACAGATGCCGGAACAAACCTCTGAAACGTGCTCTTAAATATAGAGTAGCTAGAGCAAATGGAAGACGTGATGATGAGAAAGATCTGATCGGAAGACCTCAAAGGACAGCTTGAGAAGAAAAGTTAGTATTGCGTAATGTGCAAAGACCTGGAATTTGAAAGCCCAAAGGGAAGAACATATTTGACATTTAAGCTGAAAGAACTGAAGAAAAAATGCAAGTCTTGAATTTCAGTATTGAAAGATTCTGTGGGCAAAATATTGAACAATACAGGAAGCATTAAAAGAGGGTGAAAAGAGTACACAGAGCTACTGTACAAAAATAATTGGCTGATGTTCAATCATTTTAGGAGGTGGAATATGATCAAGAAACAATGGTGCTCAAGGAAGGAGTCCAAGCTCCACTGAGAGCATTGGCAAATGAAACCAGGCTCCGCAGTCAGGGCGCAGTACAGCACTGAAGAAACATACAACTTTCCTCCAATTCTTTAATGCTTCCTCCCCCGCCCCTCCTGCCGCCCCCTATCAACACCCCAATTCTACCTTACAAATCGGGCTAGACCAGAGCATGTACACTGGTACAGATAAGAGCTGGAAACACAGGGAATCCAGGACTGATAAACCCCTCAGGACCAATAATGAGAGTAGTGATAAAGGGGGAACCGATCACAATGCTCTACATATAACCCCTCCCAGGGGGACGGACAACAGAAAAGTGGGTGAAGGGAAACATTGGTCAGTGTAAGACATGAAAAAATACTAATAACTGATCATTTTCAAGGGCTCATGAGGGAGGGAGGGGAAAAATGAGAAGCTGATACCAAGGGCTCAAGTAGAAAGAAAATGTTTTGAAAATGATGATGGTAACAAATATACAAATGTGCTTGGCCAATGAATGGATGGAGGGATTGTGATAAGAGTTGTATGAGCCACAAATAAAATGATTTCAAAAAAGCATCCATGGGTGGGGTGGGGGCTGGGAGAGGTGGGGGTAAAAGGGAGCAGATGTCAAGGAGTCCAGGAAGGAAAAGAATGAAACTGATTGTGCTAGAAATTATACAATACTGCTTGATGTGACTGAACTATGGAATGATATATCTGTATTAACTCCAAATAAAATGGTTTAAAGAAGAAGAAGAAGGAAAACGCCCCCAAACTCCAGGAATTGATGGAATAGTAATGGAAATGTTTCAACGAGCTGAAAGTACTGGTTATACTCACTAGTCCATGTAAGATATTTGGAAGACAGACACTTGGTTAATCAAGTAAAAGAGATTGGTATTTATGCCCATTCAAAAGAAAGCTAAACCAACAGTATTGAACAATATCATTTATACCATATGTAAGTAAAATTTTGCTGAAGTTAATGTAACAGTTACAGCAGTACTTTGACATGGAACTACCAGAAACTCAAGTTGGACTTAAAATAGGATGTAAAACAAAGGATATCATTCTTGATGCTGACGGACCTTGGTGGAAAGCTGATAATATCAGAAACATGTTTACCTGCATTTTTTGAATATGCAAACTATTCAACTGTGTGGGTCAAAACAAACTATGGATAACATTTTGACGAATGGTAATTTGCTCACAGCTAAGTCTGCTCCTGCAGAATCTGGACCTTCAATTTTGCTCATGGAAAAGTCCACAGACCAAGAAGCAGTTGTTCAAACCGAGCAAGGGGAGAGGTTTGGGTCAGGGTATCCTTTTCCCACACTTAGTCAACCTGCATGCGGAGCGAATAATCAGAGAAGTTACTATATGAAGAAGGCGGCATCAGGACTGGAAGAAGGCTAATTAACCAACCGCAAGGCAAAGTCTACAGCCTGCAGTACTGACTACACTTCAGTGCAAAGAAGACAAAAATCCACACAACTGGGCCAATATGCTACATCGTAATCAATGGAGAAAAGATTGAAGCAGTCAAGGATTTGGTTTTTCTTAGATCTACAATCCACATTCGTGGAAGCATCAGACAAAATAAAGCTACACTGGGCAAATCTGGTGCAAAAGACTTCTCAAAGTGTTAAAAAAAAAAAAAAAAAGGAAGAAGTAGGCTGCCACTCTGAGGACTAAGATGTGCTTGGCCCAAGCCAGGGTATTTTCAGTCACTTCAGTTGCATGTGAAAGCTAAACAAAGAATATTGATGAGTGCTTTTGAATTACAGTATGGTGAAGAGTATTAAATCTACCACTGTCTGCCAGAAGCAGGAGCAAATCTGACTTTGAAGATAGAGAGCCAGGATGCTCTTCTAGAAGTAAGGATGAAAAAAAAAAAAGAAGTAAGGATGGTCAAACCTCATCTTACGTACTTTGGACCTGTCACCACAGGATAGCATGGTTGGTAAAGTACAGGGTCAGGAGAAAAGAGGATGACCCTCAACAAAGTGGACGGACACAGCGGCTGGAGCAACAGGCTCCACTACGGCAAAGACTGTGAAGACGTGTAGGCCCAGGTGGTGTTTTGTTCTGTCCTGCACAGGGGCCCTAAGGTGGAACTGGATGGCATTTAACAACAAGACATTTAGCACAGCAGTTTAGACAAGGCAAGCATTTATACCGTGTCTCTCTCTATTGCTCAGGAGTGGTCTCTATATGAGGTACTAGGGAAGGTAATGGGTTAAAGAACACACAGGTAGTCTATGCTTTTTAAAAGTTTACAATCGAGTTGGGGAAATACAGGCAGTATGAAGTCAGCCCCTCCACCCATCACCCAAAGTGATTAAAGCAACCTACCTGACATAGAGGGAAATGGGCACGACGGTGTTGAGAATAATGAAATAGGACCAGAATACGAGGGTGGCCGAGAGTAATGATGAAGAGACATATTTTTCCCACGGCATGAAAGTCTGGAAGTAGAAACCTTTCCTGTATTCCCAAATGCCATGTCCAATTGCTAGGAATAAACACACGCTGCCTAAAAGCATGAAAATCTGTGGGGGGAGGGGAAAAAAAAGAATGACATTAACAATTCATTCAAGCCTTATTTCTCAACAAAGCTTTTCCTGTTTCTTGGAGGCTGAGTTAGTTACTTTATTGTGCCAACCTGGCTGATAAACACATGTGGGGTTAGTTGAAGAGTGGAGGGATAAATGGCTCGGTGAGCCTCGCCTTTTGAGTTCTCGGGTCTCTTGCTTTCTGATGGTCGGACCAGGGTGCAGCTGCCTTAGCCAGTTCCCTGCTTCAGCTGAGCCAGTTCCCTCACTTCCTGCAAGACATCCCCGGGGAGAAGCCACATGGACCTGCCCCGATGCAGCCCTGGGTGCTGGAGCAGCCGTGTGGAGACTCCTGCCGGCGCTGAGATGCTTACACGTTCACTGACGTGGCTTTTCTCCGGCAGTCAAGTCGGCATCATTGCCTCTGTTTTGTGAGATGGAGGAGGACTTTGTGGACTGGTGTCGGACACAGGGGTTAATAGGTTAATGTTGGACTTGTGGGCTTGGGCAGCACTGGGTTGGGATGTTTTCTTGATGTGCACTTACCCTTCATATAAAACTCTCTCTTATACATGAGTTTCTGTGGATTTGTTTCTCTAAAGTACTCAGACTAACAGAGGCCAAAGAAGCCCTATAGTTCACTACAGGTTCTAGGTAGCAGTGCAGTGGGACTGCAGTGGAAGCCCAACTAGAGCCCTCTTTGGGATATGAAATGGAGATAATAATAACTAGAAAATATTAAGTACTAATTAAGTTCCTGTCTCCTGAACAACCTCCATTGGATTGTCACATGAACAAGAAATGCCTTTCTGTGTAGTCATTGAAACTCTAATCTATCTTACCTTGATTATCAGTTCTAGATTAATCTGATACCATCCACGGGTAATTTTTAAACTTTTAGTTGAGGTATAACGTACATAAAGAAAATCACAAATATGGAAGATGATGGATTTTTCCCAATGTAATCACACCAATGGAACCAGCACCCATCTGGAGAAACATTTTCAGCACTTGAAAACCCACTCCTATGTCGTCACCAAGGCACTGTGGGCAACCCTTACTGTCACTTCTGAACACCTCACTTAATTTGTGCTTTCTTCCTTTGTTTACCAAACACCCCCAATGGCTTTATTAAAGTATAATCGAATTACAATAAACGATATATATTTAAGGTATATACCATATACACTCGTGTATAAACCGAGTTTTTCAGCACACTTTTAATGTCGTTTTTGTGGTAAAATTAGGTGCCTCAGCTGATATTCGGGTCGGCTTATACTGAGTGTATACGGCAGTCTATTAAGCATCCACTCAAACTCAGCACACTGCCATCAGGTCAATGCTGCCTCAGAGCGACCCCTGTGATATTCTGAGACTAACTATTTACAGAAGTAGAAAGCCAGTCTTTCTCCGAAGCAGCTGCTGGTAGTTTTGAACTGCCAATCATGCGAATCAAAGTCCAGCTCATACCCACTGCCTCACCAGGGCTCCAAATTAAGTATTTATCCATTAAAATATCACCACAATCAAGAGAGTGAGCACACCTAGGAACCCCAAAAGTTTCCCGGTGCTCCTTTGTAATTCCTCCTTCCATATTTCCCATCTCTTGGTTCCCAGGCAGCACGAATCTGTTTCCTGCCACTACAGATCAGACTGCATTTTCTAAAACTTTATTTAAATGAGATCACAGGGTATATATTCCTTTCGTTTCTCTGTTTGGCCTTTTTTTTAACACTACATAATTATTTGGGGATTCATTCATGTTCTACATCTATACATACTTCATTCCTTTTTATTGCTGAGCAACGTTCTCTTGTATAGATAGATCATTATTTACTTTTTGTAGAACATTTTAATTGTTTCATCTTTGGCTATTACAATACATTGGGATAAATATTTGTGTGGACATGTGCTTTAGTTTTCCTTGGCTAGACTAGGATTGAAGTTATTGGCTTTGACAGTAAGTTTATGTCTAACATTATTGTTTGAGGACAATTTTGCTGAGTACATCTTTATTGGCATTTTTCCCTGTCAGGGTTTTACACATCTCTTCCCATTGCCTTCTTGCCTGCATGTTTTCTTTCTTTCTTTCAAAAAAATCATTTTATTGGGGGCTCGTACAACTCTTATCACAATTCATCCATCCATCCATGCGTCAAGCACATTTGTACATTTGTTGGCATCATCAGTCTCAAAACATTTGCTTTCTGCTATCAGCTCCTCATTTTTCCCCTCCCTCCCTCATAAACCCTTGATAATTTATAAATTATTATTATTTTGTCCCATCTTACACTGTCTGATGTCTCCCTTCACCCACTTATCTGTTGTCTATCCTCCAGGGAGGAGGTTATATGTAGATCCTTGTAATCGGTGGCCCCTTTCTACCCCACCTTTCCTCTACCCTCCTGGTATTGCCACTCTCACCACTGGTCCTGAAGGGGTCATCTGTCCTGGATTCCCTGTGTTTTCATTTCCTGTTTGTACCAGTGTACATCCTCTGGTCTAGCCATATTTGTAAGGCAAAAATGGGATCATGATAGTGGGGGCGGGGGCGGGGGAGAGGAAGCATTTAAGAACTAAAGGAAAGTTGTATGTTTCATCGTTGCTACACTGCACCCTGACTGGCTCATCTCCTCCCTGAGACCTTTCTGTAAGGGGTTGTCCAGATGTGTACAGATGGGCTTTGAGTCCCCACTCTGCACCCCCCCTCATTCACAATGATTTTTTTGTTCTTTGATGTCTGATACCTGATCTGTTTGACACCTCATGATCACACAGAATGGTGTGCTTCTTCCATGTGGGATTTGTTGCTTCTGAGCTAGATGGCCGCTTGTTTACCTTCAAGCCTTTAAGACCCCAGATGTTATATCTTTTGATAGCCAGGCACTATCAGCTTTCTTCACCACATTTGCTTATGCACCCATTTGTTTTCAGTGGTTGTATAGGGAAGGTGAGCACACAATGATATGATAGTTTGTTCTTTGATACCTGATAATGGATCCCTTCAGCACCTCGTGATCACACAGACTGTTGTGCCTCTACCATGCCTGCATGTTTTCTGTGGAGAAATCTGAGCTTAGGTTTATTAATTCTCCTTTGTAAATAACTTTTCATTTTTTCCTGAGCTTCTTTCAGGATTCTTTCGTTGACTTTAGTTTTGGAAACCTTAATTATGGTATATCTTTTTAATTTTCTTTTAAGGTCTATCCTACTTAGAGTTTGTTGAACTTTTTTTCCCCTTTTCAAATAATTTTATTGTTATATAATTCACATATCCTACAATTCAACAGTTCAATCATATTAACGAGTTAAGCCATCATCACCACAATCAATTGCTTTTTTGGTCATACTCGTTAGCTCCCCAGCTACCCCAAGCCCCCCTGCCATGTCCTCAGGTAATTATTAATCCAGTTATTGTCTCTATACAGATTTACCTATCTGTATTTGATAAACTAAAAAAAAACAAACACCATGCAAACAAAAACAATGACAAACTAAAACAAAAATATATAAAAAAGAAAGCAGACAGTATTAAAAACTGAGACGACTTAAAAATGGATCAAAGGGAGATAAGTTGTTACATATTAACGTAGCCACATCTGGCATAATCACCTCTGCAATGCGCTCTGTCTGATAGTAAGGTGATTCCCATCCCTGGACCAAGGTCAGAGAGGATTCACCGGAGGCTTAATCCAGATGTGGACCCTGCAAATGGATTTGGGGCTTCCCATCATCCTTAACCTTCTGCAAACCGGTGTTAGGCATTTAAGCTCTGAGACTACCCCCATCTCACTTATATGGGTGCTTTTTTTAGGACTCCATATGCTATTCTTTCTGATAGCCAGGCACCATCTGCTTTGTTCATCATATTTTGCTGTGGCACCCATATCTTCAGTGATCTCTTCATGAGGCTGAGTAGGGTCATGTCATAGGAACGAATTGTTCTTAGATTAGAGATAGAACTAACTGTGAGCCTCCAATTCATTTCTATATCTATGGTTATCTATGTCTCTGGGCATCATTATCATTGCACTGTAACATTGTAAATCATCCTCACGGGGCATAAAGTAATTCTACTGATAGTATCTAGGCAATGAAGCAAGTGTGCTGCACTATTAGGTGCTAGTTTAGCAGCAGCGGGGTGCTCATCGCCTGTCTCTGGGTGGAAGTGTGGTCACTAGTCTTTGGTTGCTGGTGGTGTAGAGAAACCAAGGACGGGGGAAGCAGGTGTCGGCTGCCATTTGTCATTGATCCAGTGGGGGTGGAGTAGCTGGAAGCAATCATTTAGTGGGTGAGCAACAGGTGTGGCAGGTATAACTGGGTAAGGTTGCTAACTTCCAACTGCTGGGGAAAAGAGAAAAAAAAGGGAGAGTATAAACAGGAAGAAAAGAAGAAGAAAGAAAAACAAAACCACCAAAGGAGGTGTGACAAGAGAAGAACGATGAAGAAACAATAAGTCCGTGGGCTGTGATACAGTACCAGTGCAAGCTTGCGTCTCTGAACACAGCTGCACTGGGAATGTGGCGCTGCTGAAGGGGGAGGGGGAGGGGGTGGGACACCTGCTCCATTGCATCAGAGCAAAGGGAGGGTTGGAGGGAAAAAGGGAAAAGGGAAAGTGCGAGGGAGGGGAAGGGGGAAGAACAAAGACTGAAAAAGGAAAGGCAGCTAGGTAGCTAGGTGTGTATGTGTGTGTGTGATGGTCACAGGGAGATTGTGTGGGGCGGGGGGGAGGAGGGGGTACACCTATCTGCGCCCTGATCACCGATGTGGGTGCCAGTATAGTCCCGAGTGAGCAGATCTGGTTATCTGGTTCTTGCCCTGATCAGTACTGTTTGCAATAATTCAAAACGGCTTATTCACGGTTTCCACTCAATCTCTTCCTCTAATCAAAGCTTTACTTACTTACTTCTTCATCTTTTCATTTGAAGCTCTAGGTTTCATAGTCTAGCATCTCGGATCATGCTCTCCAGTTATTATAAACGTTGTCACGTATACTG